AACCGCGCTGGAATTGCGGAATACCGGTCTGTGCCGTTCAGGACCACGAGAGCGTTCGGAGGTAAATGCTGGCTGTGCTCTGGCTCCACGAAAGACGTGAAAAGTGTCTGCCTACTATAAACGCCTGAAGAATTGTAACATGTACAGGTTTTGGGGTACACTATAGTGTAGTTGTAACAAGGTGTTCCACAGACTATAGGTATGATTCGGTATGATGCGGCAGACCGGTTCCGTTTGTCTTTGCAGGATGTGCGCCAATTCCAGGAGCAGGTTCGCGTGCCGGAGATGACTTCCGCTCAGGGAAAGGCAGGTCGTGTTGGAGCAACGGAGGGACTAGCTTGGAACCCTGGCAAATGCAGGTGCCATACATGAACCAGGCATACATGGAGCCACAGGCCCGCTGCAAGTTTCAGACTTTGAGGCCTTCGGTGAGGTGTGATTTTTGTTTGCTGCATGCATGCTGCCAGTCGCAGGAGGACCTTGATCTTGGTGTCAATCAGACTTTCAGGTTTCAACGCGGCACGGCTGCAGCAAGCTCGCGTAAGACATAAACGACATAAGCCTACCGACAATGCCCGTGCAAGGTGCCGTGTCCGAGGGAGCAGGCGAGCAAGATGCTGTATGAGCTTTTCGCTGTGCGCTGGTCTTTGCTTTTAGTTTCTGAACGAGACCTCCAGGGCCAGGACTGCTACCGCTAACTACGTAGAGACGCAAGTTGGTCGTGGATTCGCTGCGCGCATTCTCAGTATCTGTATCAATAGACACTTACAAAGCCTGGATTTGAGAAGACTGAAGTGCAGGCTGTGACCACGTGCAGAATGTGCAGAATGCAGGCAGGGCAACTCGTAGCAACACAGCAACTGCACCAGGCATAACGACCATTGGGCACTGACACTGAGCACGGGTTGCGGTGGGTCGAGTAAGCCGTTCACGGTGAAGCTGGAAGCTCCTGGCCCTGGAAAGAGTCAAACTAGCAGTTAATTTGGAGGCCCCTCGAATCACACGATGCCAGGACCGGCTGCCAACCTTCCTGTGCAGCGCACGTTCATTCAGCTTCTTGGACTGATGCTATGATGCTCTGCTGGCGACGGCAGTTACACTGCGAGGATAGTCGCGCAGGTAGCAGATTCCTTCACTGGATGAACAGTATACACCTCAGTTTGCATGGGAATGCCACAGGTTCAGCAGCCAGGACGGCAGCCAACGCCGCTCCAGGTACCCTGATGTTATGATGCAGAATGAATACTGTGACGCGGCACCGCAGATTTACGCTACAGCTCCTACTGCTACTATGCCGCAGCTACCGGTACTACTGCTGCCCCTGTTACTGCTACTGCGATAAACAGCGACTGCCACTGTGACTGCTGCTGTCACTAGCTACTGCTACTGCTGCCACCACTGCTGCTGCTACTTCTTACTGCGACTGGCGCTGGTACTATGACTCCTCGGGTGGTTGTTGTTATTATTGCTGCTGCTGCTGCTGCTGCTACCTTTACAACTCCTGCTGCTGCTGAAGCTGCTGCTTCTGCCTACTCCTTTTGTTGCTGCTGCTACTACTACTACTACTACACTAACACTACTACTACTACTACTACTACTACTACTACTACTACTACTACTACTACTACTACTACTACTACTACTACTACTACTACTACTACTACTACTACTACTACTACTACTACTACTACTACTACTACTACTACGTAGTGCTACTTCTACTGCTACTTCTACTTCTCCTTGTGCTACTGCTTCTGCTTCTGCTCCTCCTTCTACTCCTGCTCCTATACTCCTACTCCTACTCCTCCTCCTGCTCCTGCTACTACTCCTCCTCCTGCTGCTGCTGCTCCTGCTCTTCCTCCTTGCTCCTTGCCCTGCTCCTACTTCGGCTGCTGCTGCGTGCGGCCACTGCTGCGGCCACTGCTGCGGCTGCTGCTGCTGTTGTTGGTACTGGTACTGGCACCAGTACCAGCACTAGCACTAGTACTAGTAGTATCAGTAGGGCTAGTACCAGTACCAGTACCAGTACCAGTAGTAGAAGAAGTAGTTAGTAGTAGTCGTCGTGGTAGCGGTAGGGGTCGTGGTCGTGGTGGTGGTTGTCATGGAAGTGGTAGGGGTAGGGATAGAGGTACGGACAGGGGTCTATCGACGCCGGCTACTTACCAGACCCATCTTCCCTATCGCTGCCGCTACTTGTACCACTACGACGAAGACCACGACGGCGACGACCATCACGACGACTACTACTACTGCTGCTGCTATGCGACTACCAGTCCTCCCACCACGTGGGGACCGTGGTTGTGTTGTTAGTAATAGCAGCAGCAAAAGAGTCACTATGAGGGACGGGGGGGCATCAGGAACAATTATTTGCAGAGAGCCTGCAACAAGCATACTGTAGACATCAGATTGCACAGGATGCGTTCCCACACTGTCAGGTCTCAGTGACAGGACGGCGATGACTGACAACGGCTCATTGATGATAAGTTTGGAACGAAGCAGATGTCTGTTTGGAGTTAGGAACGAGGTTTACTGTGTTTGGAGCAGGGCTTTCTCAAGCTTTCTTTGCTGAACTTTTGCCCTCTGGTATTGGCCGAGGGGCCCCCAAAAGGGTATCCAAGCAGACGCCGCTGGTGTTTGAAGACGATTCGTACAGTGCAAGTAGTGCAGTATTTCAGCGTAGAGATGTTCCCAGCTGCCATGGAGGCAGCTGCGCGGAATTAGACATTTGTCCTGCACATTTTTCGAGACCACAGACGCCGACATTCGCGATGATGGTCGTTCTCTGAGCCTATGGAGTTTGATTGAGCGTTCTAGGCCATTTGCATCTGCAAAGATGCCCATGTATTGTCCCATGCACATGCGCTGGGCAACCCTTGCAAGCTGCACGGAGAGGGTAGGCACCTTTTCTGAGTATCGTTTGAGCTTCATTCGGCGCTGTAAGTGGCTCTCCTGTCTCCTGCCTCTCCAATAGCTCTAATGGCCGCGTGGCCCAACCAGAATTCAATGTTGCTGGGTAGTTGCGAATTTGCAGGAATGCTTGTTCTTTGATTTCAGCTTGTAGGCTACTTGTATCGGTATGCTTCTGGTTTGAGCATCCCTCCCCTCGCTCTTCCTGAGCTTTGTGGCCGCTGCTGCAATCCCTTGCTGTGGGGAGAAAGTTTTGGTTCACCTTTGCTGGGCGAAGGCCAAGAGGCGCTTTCAATGCCTGCCTCAGTTCACCTGTCCAGGACTGACGAAAATCTCGTTCAGGTTGACAAGATCATGTAGGATCCTGTGGACATGTCCTGGGAACTTCACCCACTGGTTAGGGATGGCGACCCACCAGTGAGGGACTGGGTGTGACATGCAGACAACCGAGACACTTTCCGTAAAAGCCACACACAGAGACTGGCCTGCCGCAAAGCTTCTGCTTGTCATGCTTATGGATTTGGAGTCCTATGAGCGTATGAACATGATCACGAGCGCAGGTGCTAAAACCTCAATTTGCGAGCAGTTTGTCTGCTGTCTTGGCCCTGATACCTCCTTGGTTTCCGGCCCTTGCTGGAGAACTTTCGAGTGGCCGGAAAATGCTTCCGAGGCAAAAGGGGGAAGGAGTTTTGAATGTCTGCGTTTAGTGGTGGCCCTCACTATCCCTCACTTAGTTCGTCCTGATCATCTTACTTTTCGATGTGATGTGATGTTGCATCAACCTTCACCCCTTGCCTTGAAGCTGATGGATGAGCGCTTCTAAAGCAGCGGTCGAAACCAAGATTCATGCGGCTGTGGACTTGAGTTGCATGGCCATGACTTGCCGGCACAGTTCGATACAAGATCCCCCCGTGACAGCAAATCCAAACTCTCAATGAAGCGCTTCTTAAAGCTTGACTGCCTGAGACAAGTCTTGCGTCAAACGTGTATGTCTTGCCTACTTGTGTGTGTATCATACGTACAATGTACATGAGTCTGTTGTGTGTACCCATATAGCATACACACATTCGCATACACATGTACATGCAAATGTATGGATGTGGCTGCATGTGCGCTTTTCAGGCTGAATATCTCCCCAACCTGAACCTAGACCCTAACCCTGAACCCTCAACCTAAAGCATCTCCATGGCCCAAACCATTTTCCAAGGCTTTACCGCCAAAGCAAGCAAACGCGGGTTGCCGACTTCCTCGCGAACGACCTCTCCGAGGAACCCTGGAGAACGAAGGCTCCGGACAGCTTGATGAGTTTGGGTTTCGTGTTCTGTGGACGGGTTACTTGAGGGTGCCATAAGAGCTATATTGTAAGGGTCCATAAGGGTTCGGTCCTATTAGTTTTGTGTTTTAGGGCTTGGGATTAGGGCTCAGTTCGGGAACTGCTAGGGTTTAGGTTTTCAAGGTTTAGGGTTTAGGGGTTAATCAGGATTCGGGGTTCGGGGATTTAGGCTTACGGGTTGAGGGTTCGGGGGTTAGGGGCTGAGTGGTTTAGGGTTTAGGGGTTGGGAGTTCAGTGAGTTCTGAAGGTACCGTCGGCTTCCAGTCACAGTCAGAGTCTTGGCCGGGCCAGGGGCCCCAGGCTCACGAGAGTCTGCTGACACGAGATGGACCCGGGCGAGAGATTCGTGGAGATTCCACGATGCTATCTAAGTCTAGCCGTGGAGCTTCTTCCCTGACCTGCTTCGAGAGGTAAGGCATAACGGATTTTCGTTGGGAACACCTTAAGAACTCAGACTTCCGCTTCCGTTGCGTTGCGATGAGTTCGGATGAATTGTTGACTGCTCGGAGGCCGAGAAGAACGCATTCGAGCTCGCTCGGCTCTCGATCGGCTGAGAATCTGAGCTCTATGGGCCACTTGAGGGTCTCTGAGGTGCGGCAGCGCCGCTTCGAGCTGGCATGTGCTTTCTTCGTCTTCTCGCAGAGGGCACGGGATGCCATTGATGCAGACGGCTCGGCCTCCGATTGCTGTTTCGTACCCTCGTACATCGCAGCGTTTCGCTTGGCTCGAAGACTGCCCGGCATGAGGTTGCCGTAGTTCGATGTCTGCCCCACCTGGGGCGATTGCAAAGTGTCACGGCGCCGCGCATGTGGCCGCCCAGCACGGGAAGGTTCGAACTTTGGAGCTGCTGCACAGTATGGACCCCTGCTGTTGCTGAGAGTGCCGTGCTTCCACGAACTCTGCATCTCTCCAAAGCGTAATGGGGCTTGGAGGATCCGGAGAGCCTTCGGCGCTGCGCTGCCGACGGTCGCACCCCCGCGCATTGGGCGGCCTTAAGCGGCCAGGTCGGAAGGGCTCGGTCAGCTGAGTCAACTGTCAGCTCCTGTTTCGAAGCGCTGAAGCCGCAGGTGGCGGCCTTGGGGACTTTGGCTTCCTTGGTGCCTGACACCCTCGCGGCACATGCTCGCAACGGAGCAACTCCCGCTCACGATGCAGCTTTTCAAGGCCTGGCGGGCCTACAGTAGCGGCCTAGCTGCCAGCTTATGTCCACATCAGGTACAGGTACAGTATACAGGGCTTCCAAGCCGCGCGAGGCCAGAGTCATGTGCTGCTGCATCTGCACCAGATCAACCCAAACAGCCTCATGGCAAAGTCGAAGACAGGTGCGAGCTGCAATGAATCGAGTTGCTGGGATTGACCTTGACCGAAGCAGGAAGGCTGCACGATCAATCAGAAGTTGGAGGTGACAGCATACGTTTCCTTTGCTCAGCAGGTGCAACACCGGCACACGATGCGGCTTTCAGTGGCCACATCGAGACGATGAAACTCAGCCATTGTTTCAGGATGTTGCGTTAGGTCAAGGGCGAGAGTAATTTTGGCGAAGCCTTTATAAGATTCATGTTTGGCGCACCTAAGATGCACGCGTGCCATCAGTGCGGTTCATACTGCATACAGAAGTGAGAAAGATGAGGAGTCACCAGCGTCACAGCCTGTATCATCGTTGTTATCATCAGTACCATCATAACACCGCTACCCGGCGGCAACTTCAACTTCTGCTCCAGCTTGAAGCGCTCCGAGGCTGCTCTTGAGGGAACTGGCGCCGGAAAGCCTCTCAGCCCGCGACCTCCATGGCAGATCTGCGGCCCACGCGGCGGCGGAGACGGGACAGGCGAACGGAAGCGACGGAAGCGAAAGCATAGCATAGCGCCATGCATAGCACCTCAAAGCGCCTCAAAGCGCCTCAGGGCTCTCTCTCGCTTTAGGAGTCTCTGCTTCGGCTGCTCTACCTCTTGGTACCGGCGACCTTGCATGCAAGGCGTTGGGGGGTTTTTGCAGATTGCGGTGAGAGAGCGTTCGCTTTGGCCTTCAGATCTTTCCAAGGGATGGTGCAGGGTGGCTGCCTGAAGATGTGGCGGAAGCACACGGCTGGGAGTCAACTGCCCGGCTGCTCAAGTCTTTGCCTCCTGTGCAATGTGATGACCCTGGTTCTGCCGATGACGCGAGCGATGACGTGGAACAGGCCAGGCGCGCAGAGCTCTGCGACACGGTCTTGCTCGATCTTCTAGTTTGATGACGTGCTGGGGAGGTAGGCCTGGAGGAGGACGCACCGCCGGAGCCGGAACCCACACGAGAGGCCAGAACAGAACTGCGGTAGTAACTAGTGGTTGGACAGGCAGGCGGACTCGATGAGAGCCATGGCCCAGGACCCAGCTCCTTCAGAACCGAAGGCACCGGAGGTGACAGAGCTCCAAGAAGCCACCAGCCAGGCGGACATAACGGGTCTGGCATCACAATTTGGATGCTTGAATCCTGGCAGTCTCCTTGTATACTCGTGTACCTTGTCAGGCAGAGCCAGAGCATCCACAACAGCCCGCGAACGAGGAAACTTCAGTGCAAGAGGCGGGCGGACCAGTATGTGGTCTGTTAATTCAGCTGTCAATCCATGCAAGGCAGGAATAACAGTCCTGAGCGACGGACACACATTCAATCGCGACCGCGAGAAGGCCCTAAGGTTAATCAGATCAGCTTCATTCCACTCGCTGTGTTCAGGAGGCTTCAGCAGCAGAGCCGCCAGAAGAGGAACCGACAAGATCTGCTCAGGCACAGCACCGCATGGCACGAATTCCTGAGACTGTTCCCTTACAGAAAAAATTCCCTAAAAGTCCTTATATTGCAATTACAGTATAACATAGACATACACCACAAACCCCAATGCCAAGCCGACAGAAATGAGCTCAGCGGATTCGCTGCGGCTTACAGGTTGGTTCCCCTGAATTGAGGTATCGGATGAGAGCGTTCTTGAAGAAGGGAAGAGCATGGAACCCGTGACACCGGATCCTCTAGCGTATGAGGTTCTCTTGGACATATTATCTGCGAAGCTTGGCACTATGTTGATGCAAATCAGGCATGTTTTCTCACTTTGTCAGGGTCGTTTTTCATTTGATATGAACGGGTTCCGAGTTGCTTCCATAAGCCTGCTGGACTAAGGAGTGATCTGCGCAATGCCGACTGGAGCTTGTCCAGTTCTGGTGGCTCCGATTCCTACTGCTTGGTGGAGATTCCGGGAAGCAACAAGGGCTTCCAGACCGAGGTGGTGGAAAACAGCTCCGACCCAGTGTGGAACAAGCGCGGGAAGTTGGTCCTTGCCCCAGAGGAGGTGTTGCTCTTTAAAGTCATGGACCGCGACGATGGCGATGCCGACGACCTGCTTGGGAAAGTCTCACTGCCAGTTGCCAAGCTCCTGCCGGATGGTTTCGAAGGACAGTTGGAAATGCAAGAGACTGGAAAGGCCACGGCCTTCTTGACCGTTCGCTCAAAAGTTTTGAGGGCACTCTATGATGCAGCTGCGGTGGCCGATGCGCTGAAGGCGAGTCAAAGCCAACCCAAGCGGCCTCCTCCACCCAAGCCCCCGAAAGTGCACGAGATTGAACTGACGGTGAGGGCTGCCAAGGGCTTGCGCAATGCGGATTGGAGCTTCGGAGGTTCCGGTGGATCAGATGCTTATGTTGCAGTGAGTGTCCCGGGTACCAAAAAAGAGTTCCAAACGCCGGTTGTTGAAGATAGTTCCGATCCAGAGTGGAACTTCGTGCAGAAGCTTGCAGTCTCTCCGAAGGAGACTTTGGTTTTCAAGGTCTTTGACCGAGACAAGCGTAATGACGAGCTCTTGGGGACTGCAAACCTTGCCATCTCCGGGATACTGCCCCAAGGTTTCAGTGGTGCCCTCAAGCTGCAAGATACTCGGAATCCTACCACCGCAGAGCTGCTGGTCTCTGTCCGAGTGTTGCAGAACACAGCTGGAAAGGACACCGGACGTCCGCGGGTCTTGGCCTACTCAATGGAAATGACTGTTGTCTCCGCAACTGGCCTTCGCAATGCCGACTGGAGCTTGTCAAGTTCTGGTGGCTCCGATTCCTACTGCTTGGTGGAGATTCCGGGAAGCAACAAGGGCTTCCAGACCGAGGTGGTGGAAAACAGCTCCGACCCAGTGTGGAACAAGCGCGGGAAGTTGGTCCTTGCCCCAGAGGAGGTGTTGCTCTTTAAAGTCATGGACCGCGACGATGGCGATGCTGACGACCTGCTTGGGAAAGTCTCACTGCCAGTTGCCAAGCTCCTGCCGGATGGTTTCGAAGGACAGTTGGAAATGCAAGAGACTGGAAAGGCCACGGCCTTCTTGACCGTTCGCTCAAAAGTTTTGAGGGCACTCTATGATGCAGCTGCGGTGGCCGATGCGCTGAAGGCGAGTCAAAGCCAACCCAAGCGGCCTCCTCCACCCAAGCCCCCGAAAGTGCACGAGATTGAACTGACGGTGAGGGCTGCCAAGGGCTTGCGCAATGCGGATTGGAGCTTCGGAGGTTCCGGTGGATCAGATGCTTATGTTGCAGTGAGTGTCCCGGGTACCAAAAAAGAGTTCCAAACGCCGGTTGTTGAAGATAGTTCCGATCCAGAGTGGAACTTCGTGCAGAAGCTTGCAGTCTCTCCGAAGGAGACTTTGGTTTTCAAGGTCTTTGACCGAGACAAGCGTAATGACGAGCTCTTGGGGACTGCAAACCTTGCCATCTCCGGGATACTGCCCCAAGGTTTCAGTGGTGCCCTCAAGCTGCAAGATACTCGGAATCCTACCACCGCAGAGCTGCTGGTCTCTGTCCGAGTGTTGCAGAACACAGCTGGGAAGGACACCGGACGTCCGCGGGTCTTGGCCTACTCAATGGAAATGACTGTTGTCTCCGCAACTGGCCTTCGCAATGCCGACTGGAGCTTGTCAAGTTCTGGTGGCTCCGATTCCTACTGCTTGGTGGAGATTCCGGGAAGCAACAAGGGCTTCCAGACCGAGGTGGTGGAAAACAGCTCCGACCCAGTGTGGAACAAGCGCGGGAAGTTGGTCCTTGCCCCAGAGGAGGTGTTGCTCTTTAAAGTCATGGACCGCGACGATGGCGATGCCGACGACCTGCTTGGGAAAGTCTCACTGCCAGTTGCCAAGCTCCTGCCGGATGGTTTCGAAGGACAGTTGGAAATGCAAGAGACTGGAAAGGCCACGGCCTTCTTGACCGTTCGCTCAAAAGTTTTGAGGGCACTCTATGATGCAGCTGCGGTGGCCGATGCGCTGAAGGCGAGTCAAAGCCAACCCAAGCGGCCTCCTCCACCCAAGCCCCCGAAAGTGCACGAGATTGAACTGACGGTGACGGCTGCCAAGGGCTTGCGCAATGCGGATTGGAGCTTCGGAGGTTCCGGTGGATCAGATGCTTATGTTGCAGTGAGTGTCCCGGGTGCCAAAAAAGAGTTCCAAACGCCGGTTGTTGAAGATAGTTCCGATCCAGAGTGGAACTTCGTGCAGAAGCTTGCAGTCTCTCCGAAGGAGACTTTGGTTTTCAAGGTCTTTGACCGAGACAAGCGTAATGACGAGCTCTTGGGGACTGCAAACCTTGCCATCTCCGGGATACTGCCCCAAGGTTTCAGTGGTGCCCTCGAGCTGCAAGATACTCGGAATCCTACCACCGCAGAGCTGCTGGTCTCTGTCCGAGTGTTGCAGAACACAGCTGGAAAGGACACCGGACGTCCGCGGGTCTTGGCCTACTCAATGGAAATGACTGTTGTCTCCGCAACTGGCCTTCGCAATGCCGACTGGAGCTTGTCAAGTTCTGGTGGCTCCGATTCCTACTGCTTGGTGGAGATTCCGGGAAGCAACAAGGGCTTCCAGACCGAGGTGGTGGAAAACAGCTCCGACCCAGTGTGGAACAAGCGCGGGAAGTTGGTCCTTGCCCCAGAGGAGGTGTTGCTCTTTAAAGTCATGGACCGCGACGATGGCGATGCCGACGACCTGCTTGGGAAAGTCTCACTGCCAGTTGCCAAGCTCCTGCCGGATGGTTTCGAAGGACAGTTGGAAATGCAAGAGACTGGAAAGGCCACGGCCTTCTTGACCGTTCGCTCAAAAGTTTTGAGGGCACTCTATGATGCAGCTGCGGTGGCCGATGCGCTGAAGGCGAGTCAAAGCCAACCCAAGCGGCCTCCTCCACCCAAGCCCCCGAAAGTGCACGAGATTGAACTGACGGTGAGGGCTGCCAAGAGCTTGCGCAATGCGGATTGGAGCTTCGGAGGTTCCGGTGGATCAGATGCTTATGTTGCAGTGAGTGTCCCGGGTACCAAAAAAGAGTTCCAAACGCCGGTTGTTGAAGATAGTTCCGATCCAGAGTGGAACTTCGTGCAGAAGCTTGCAGTCTCTCCGAAGGAGACTTTGGTTTTCAAGGTCTTTGACCGAGACAAGCGTAATGACGAGCTCTTGGGGACTGCAAACCTTGCCATCTCCGGGATACTGCCCCAAGGTTTCAGTGGTGCCCTCAAGCTGCAAGATACTCGGAATCCTACCACCGCAGAGCTGCTGGTCTCTGTCCGAGTGTCAAAATCTGCTGAAAAGTCTTGAGGCACTGTGCGATGTTCAGGCAGAACGCTTGGGGATGGCAACAGGCACCGAGAGTCTGCGGCGACCAAGGCGTCCGCAGCCTAGCTGTGCTCTTGGCAACGCGCAGGGCAACGACGAGATGATAGATCTTTCCCGTCGGGTGAGTCATGCGCGAAACGACTCGGTAGCCTCGATGGGTTCTGCTGGATTTCCGAGAAGACATTTGGCAGCTGGCACGTTACGCTTCCTGGCCGTGCCAGAGCAAGCTGAGTGCGGGATGCAGCCTTTGAGCCAGTCTTAGAGTCTTCCTGAGACAGGACTGCCCTTTAATGTAAGATCGTAGCAGACCAGGTTTGCACCATACATCGAAGCAGTGAAGAGTAAGCACGCGACAGGACGAGGAGCCGCAGCTCAGCTTCGCGGCGCAGTTGTTCAAGAGACTCGCGGAAGCGCTCCAGTCACGGTCTGCAGATGTGCCGGAAAGGCCCCATTGGTGCTGACTCCAAGGCCAAGCAAGACAAGGAAGACTATGACAAATTCCGGCCTCGATCTGACGAAAGTACCACGCAGGGAGGACAACACAGTGATCGACTTCATTGTGACTTCATCAAGTCGTTTTGCAGGACTGGGGCGAACCCCGCAAGACCGATCCCAAAGCACAGTCGATAAGCTTCGCAGTCGACGGCAAAGAAGCTCGCAGTCTTTTATGCTCTGGACGCTCCATGCAGCCCTCTTCCGCGAATGGCATGCCGTGGCTGGCGTGCTGAAAAGAGCTTTGGTGCTTCGGAAAGGCTCCTTGGGGTTGCAGCACCCAGAGGCGGCGAGCTTCAGAGAGGCAGCGCTCGTAAACTGCCGAGGTCTGTGTCCGGTACATGGATGACTGGCCTTTGGCAATGTCGTAGTCTTAACTTCTCTCTGCTTTCATGGTCACTCCCGTTTGTCATGTCAGCCTCAGGCTCATTGCTCAACACGTCGAGCTCAGTGATCCAGACATTGCTGCCGAGCGACGGCGTGTGCCCCGCAAATCTAGCCTTTTGTCGTCATCTTGTGTCGACCATTGCCGCGTGACACGGTAATTTCTGCCTTCTGCTTGATGGTGCGGCTGAGTCATCTTGTGACTCTGACCGCATCACGGGAGGTGCTACAGGATGATCTTCTTCCGACGGCACACAGAGGGCACGACCCATGGCTGGCATCTTTGGACGGATGCTCAGAGCCTCACCATCGATGCCGATGCATGTCAGTTGGGCAGGACATCGTGCGGTCACTAGACGAGCTACTGTCGGTCCTGCTAGATCGTGTTCCGGATCTGTCCGTCTAGGTCAAGGAGGTGAGCGGATGACCTGAGCCGTGCGCCGAGGTGCACTGGCGCCTACATGATCATCATCAAGCGGTCGCGACGGTCCCTGGCTTGGCTTTTTTTCGTTTGCGAATGTGGAAAGTGGAGGCCAGAGCCAACACCAGTCTTTGCCGATAAGCACTTGCAAAGACAGTCTACCTTCCAAGAATAACTTCACGCATTCGGTGAAACGTGGGTGATGCTAAATGGAAAGACGTGTGTCTTGCCTGCTTGCAAGCTCCGGTTGGCTTTGGCAGAGCTGTTGTTGATTTTTATTGTGCTGTGTCAAGAGGTGCTTGTAATTAGTCATGAGTATAATGCTTCTCAGTTTCGGCTTCTATCGAGTTATGACACTATGACTGCAGATGATCGCAGGTCGTGCGACCATTCCACAACACGGAGGAAAGGTCAGCTGCAGGCGGGATGAACACCACAGCGGCTTGCCAAGAGCCGTCTCAGCAATACTATCGCTCGGCACTGCGTTGACAACGCCTTCCGCCTCGATTAGCATTCGTCGAGCGACACTTTCTACCTCACAGTTCTGCCGAAATGTGGCAAGAAGAGACGGCCCATTTTTATAGCAGAACTCGGCTCGGGGTGTGAGATAGATCTGGGCTGTGCTTTCGGAGTGTTTTTAATTTCTGTGGTTTTGCTGGGTCTTGGTATACAACGATTGATTGTATTGTTTGTAGTGTCAAACAACCATAAGTTTGTAGTGTCAAACAACCATAAGCCACGTTAGCTCAAGCTGCCACTCGAAACGAATTGTCAGTGGTAATTTACCACTGACAATTCGCTTCGAGTGTCAGCAAGCTTCTCATGTGAACATCGCCCTCACCGTGGATCACCTCGAGTGTCAGCGTGGAGCCCTAGAGTGCAGAGTCATGCTGGTGTTTGCGGCAAGACCCATTCGCCGCTGCGGCAAGACCCATTCGCCGCTAGCAGGGTCAGGGTCTGAGGGTAGCATCTAAGAGAGAGTCATGCGGCATGGACCATTCGCCGCCGAGAGCTAGGATGAGAGTCATGTTCTTATCGTCTGCTAGAGTCAGATGCCATAGGTAGGTCGGCAGAGTGTCATAGCAGTGACTTGCAAGAGCAGTTTGTCAGTGTCAGGTACCACATTGCATCACCGAGGCCAGACCTTCCAGTGTCAAGCGATGGCAGGACACTGAGCGATTGCAGTCAGGGTCATCGCCTGAGAGCGCAGATGCATCCGGAGTGCAGTGTCATTTTGTGCGGCATGACCCATTCGCCGCTAGCAGTGTCAGGGTTTGAGTGTAGCATCTAATCTAAGAAAGAGTCATGCGGCATGGACCATTCGCCGCCGAGAGCTAGGATGAGAGTCATGTTGTTCAATGATTATTTTCGTCGTCGTCTATTTTAATAATTAAATGACATATTTAGTTTAATATTTAAATTTAATTATAATAAATAAATATTATTCAATAAATGATGCCATAGGTAGGTCGGCAGAGTGTCATAGCAGTGACTTGCAAGAGCAGTTTTTGTCAGTGTCACATATAACAATAATAATTTCAATTTAATATAATAATTAAACACATTGCATCACCGAGGCCCGACCTTCCAGTGTCAAGCGATGGCAGGACACTGGGCGATAGCAGTCGGGGTCATCGCTTCAGAGTGCAGTGTCATTTTGTTGCGGCATGACCCATTCGCCACTAGCAGTGTCAGGGTTTGAGTGTAGCATCTAAGAGAGAGTCATGCGGCATGGACCATTCGCCGCCGAGAGCTAGGATGAGAGTCATGTTCAATCATCATCTAAGCTGCTAGAGTCACATGCCAAGAGTGTCACAGCAGTGACTTGCAAGAGCAGTTTGTGAGTGTCACATGCATCACATTGCATCACTGAGGCCAGACATTCCAGTGTCAAGCGATGGCAGGACACCGAGCGATTGCAGTCAGGGTCAGCGCCTGAGAGCACAGAGGCATCCAGGGTGTAGTGTCATGTTGTTGCGGCATGACCCATTCGCCGCTAGCAGTGTCATGGTCTGAGGGTAGCATCTAAAAGAGTCATGCGGCATGGACCATTCGCCGCCGAGAGCTAGGATGAGAGTCATGTTCTTATCATCTATCTGCTAGAGTCAGATGCCATAGGTAGGTCGGCAGAGTGTCATGGCAGTGACTTGCAAGAGCAGTTTTTGTCAGTGTCACATAATATATCACATTGCATCACCGAGGCCCGACCTTCCAGTGTCAAGCGATGGCAGGACATTGGGCGATTGCAGTCAGGGTCATCGCTTCAGAGTGTAGTGTCATTTGGTTGCGGCATGACCCATTCGCCGCTAGCAGTGTCAGGGTTTGAGTGTAGCATCTAAGAGAGAGTCATGCGGCATGGACCATTCGCTGCCGAGAGCTAGGATGAGAGTCATATTGTTCAATTATCGTCTATTAATCTGCTAGAGTCACGTGCCATAGGTAGGCCGGCAGAGTGTCATAGCAGTGACTTGCAAGAGCAGTTTTGTGAGTGTCACATGTATCACATTGCATCACTGAGGCCAGACCTTCCAGTGTCAAGCGATGGCAGGACACCGAGCGATTGCAGTCAGGGTCAGCGCCTGAGAGCACAGAGGCATCCAGGGTGTAGTGTCATGTTGTTGCGGCATGACCGAATTCGCCGCTAGCAGTGTCATGGTTTGAGGGCAAAATCTAAGAGAGTCATGCGGCATGGACCATTCGCCGCCGAGAGCTAGGATGAGAGTCATGTTCTTATCGTCTATTATTATCTGCTAGAGTCAGATGCCATAGGTAGGTCGGCTGAGTGTCATAGCACTGACTTGCAAGAGTTGTATTATCAGTGTCACATGTATCACATTGCATCACCGAGGCCCGACCTTCCAGTGTCAAGCGATGGCAGGGCACTGGGCGATTGCAGTCAGGGTCATCATCGCTTCAGAGTGCAGTGTCATTTTGTTGCGGCATGACCCATTCGCCGCTAGCAGTGTCAGGGTTTGAGTGTAGCATCTAAGAGAGAGTCATGCGGCATGGACCATTCGCTGCCGAGAGCTAGGATGAGAGTCATATTGTTCAATTAAATTATCGTCTATTAATCTGCTAGAGTCACATGCCATAGGTAGGCCGGCAGAGTGTCATAGCAGTGCCTTGCAAGAGCAGTTTTGTGAGTGTCACATGTATCACATTGCATCACTGAGGCCAGACCTTCCAGTGTCAAGCGATGGCAGGACACCGAGCGATTGCAGTCAGGGTCAGCGCCTGAGAGCACAGAGGCATCCAGGGTGTAGTGTCATGTTGTTGCGGCATGACCCATTCGCCGCTAGCAGTGTCATGGTCTGAGGGTAGCATCTAAAAGAGTCATGCGGCATGGACCATTCGCCGCCGAGAGCTAGGATGAGAGTCATGTTCTTATCATCTATCTGCTAGAGTCAGATGCCATAGGTAGGTCGGCAGAGTGTCATGGCAGTGACTTGCAAGAGCAGTTTTTGTCAGTGTCACATAATATATCACATTGCATCACCGAGGCCCGACCTTCCAGTGTCAAGCGATGGCAGGACATTGGGCGATTGCAGTCAGGGTCATCGCTTCAGAGTGTAGTGTCATTTGGTTGCGGCATGACCCATTCGCCGCTAGCAGTGTCAGGGTTTGAGTGTAGCACCTAAGAGAGAGTCATGCGGCATGGACCATTCGCTGCCGAGAGCTAGGATGA